CATTCGTTTGCTACAGCAATTAACTCCCAATCGTTTGACCGATGCTAAACACATTTGGGATCTGTTTGGTCTGGGAACTTAATAGGTTTCGTGTTATTACATACATGTACATACTACACGTAGGTCCCAAGAGTATGACATTGCTTAAAAATGTTGAACGAATGCAAATCGAAATACATACGATGCTGGGATCAAGTGTGAAATCATTCCCAGATACATGTTTGTGGCGTGTGGCGCATACAACATTCACATGTCCAATCCCCGCACAAGGACATGCCATCCAAGAAAATATCCAACGGCTGTCTTTTTCGACACGTTCATAGCATTCACGCATTATACACCTGAGGCTTCACTATGAGTGATACAAAGTCGCTGATAAACAGCAGTTGGGATCACCGCCTTTTAACACCGTATTGTATGGTTCCCAGACAAACAGGTCCGGACTGTGTTGAGCATTTGTCAAATGATTGGGAGTTAATTGCTGTAGTAATTGAATGGCCGATGTGGACAACAAAATCAAAACAAAAGTTTTATGGACAGAAACAAACAGGAAATCACCCATATTACAGAATTTATTGATACATCAATGATCTGATGGGGTCAGTCAGCCATGTATACAAAAAAGGTTCATAGAAAGCATTTTCGCAGAGTCTCCACCTCTTGGGTAGACCGGGTGGGGCCAAGGATACGGAGGTACCCGGTTCATGCCGTCCATGTTTATCAGATTGCATATGCGTCAAGCCCATCAATGACTGCACTTGCTCCACATATTGGTTCAACCCTTTTCGGTTTCGGAGGATGACATCTTATGTTGTTTTCATTGTGGGACCATGGTGGAACCGTCCTGGCTGCTGCTGTGAACTAGAAACACCCATGGGCCGGACGCGCGACATGTGCTGCACTATGCTATGTAGCTGTGACAGACTGCGAGACTTAAACATTTCCCCTCCCCCAACCACCGAAAATGGTTGAACCAATATAAAGAGCAAGCGCGTTCATTGGTGGGCTCAATGCATGCACTGTAAACACGAACAGCATGAATGGAGCGACAGTCAATGGGTGGAAACGAGAAATTGGTGAGCAAAATCTCATTTTTTTTTTCAAAAATACTCCGTCTCATGCTCTGAAACCTTCCCGCTTTTTAAGAGGTACATGTAAGCCTAATCAGGTTTGCTGACAAGAGAAAATTTGATTTATGTGTAATAGCTTTCTTACACCAGTGAATCATTTCAACACAAACATTCGATTCCAAAACCCCATACTATAGCGCGCATTACGACACCTAGCCCCACTAGTGTGGCACGGATCACTCCTGATTTATCCTAAGGATAAATCATCCTTAGGATAAATCAGGAGTGATCATTGCCACACTAGTGGGGCTATACGACACCACGTAAACCGTGTTGGCTAACCGGCTAGTAAAAGTCACACGGAGTAGGCTGTAACGGAGTGATGTACAGAATGTAGGCCTAGCATGCCTAGTGTCAGTAGTGACTTTGAGTTCTCGAAGTAGCGCGCCCCCTGTCTGGGCCTGGCCTACCGCTACACATGGCTAACTTAAGCTTTTCTGTCATCAAGGTCATTGTCAATCCTGTCAATATACAGATACCAAAATCACATCTAAGCCAAAGGATATTCTTCCTGCAAATCATGACTCGCCCCTACCTGTTCGTGCGATAGTGCAATCAACCATCAACTGCATGTCACGTACAACGTATGGCTGGTTTACGTGTGCTAACTGCTGTGCTGCACTCTAACCCACCTAGTCGTCTGGTGCGATGAATATTTCCATTGCTGCTGATAGTCAGAGCAAGGGTTCCAGACAATGAAAACACTTTCATAAAACAAAACGCATGAGTCTATCGGTGGCCGCATTTATGCGACTTATGGCTTCATCAAAAGGAGCGCCAGATCTACATGTAGGTCTTTGACCATTTAACGAGGGGAGAAGCTGAGCTGAGAAGAGATGTAGCCGGCCTTGCAAGCTCATTTTGGACATATCGCTATGGCTTTTTGTACGATAACCCCATTAACACAGGGCAAAGTGAATTCTTTGATTTCATATATTACCCGGTTTAACGTCCAGATGAAGTTGGGCATTACGCGGGAAAATATTGATTTACATCGTGTGAGATTCACTGCGAAAGAACTTCAACCCTCAGTAGCTCTGTAGGCAACTGCCGAAGTATTTTGTAAGGTTGGGTCACATTTTGAGGAGGACGCAGCCACTCCATGGGGGTGAATCCGGCGGGGGGAGGCAGGAGGTATATATTCCTTCCCACTTTTTGAGGTGGAGGGATGAGCTATTGGATCACCCCCTGCCCCACTTGTTTTTGTGTTGAGCAAAAGATTAAAGTAGATTGTGAAGAATTTTTCAGATTTCTAACGAGTAAAATTAATGTAGGCCTATTCAGTATCACTCAAAAAGGGAAAACAATTAAAAAGCCATAAATATATGCAATTTCAGAATTACATTAATATCAGGAACATCGAAATCTATATAGAGTCATATTGTGTCCTGGCCTCCGTTTTTTTTCCAATTTACGTGTCATCCCCCACACACCCCACACCTTTCCCCATCTCAATTCGCCCCAATTTCCGGCACATATTTACACCACTGAGTGAATCACCCAACTGCGAACATATTGAGGGGATCCTTTAGCGAAATTCCAAAGACGAAAGTTTCCAAGCTGTGTTTTTCATGTTTGTTTTCCTTCAGTATCTAAGTTCATTTGTGGGTGTCCAGGGGCTGTAAACTGAATATTTAACCTTTGTTGCTGAAATCCATTCATTGAGGAAACTGGGCGGGGGGCTTCTCAACCCATGGTGCTGTCAGTTTTCCATGAAATAATGAGACCATATAGTTTCACTTTTAATTAAGGTTCGATTTTGTTTTACTTACCCAACCCCTAACTTTCGACCTTTGAACCAGTTCAGTAATTCAAAAAGATAAGGTCATTAGAGAAGAAAGCAAGCAAATGTGAACATGTTCAGTAGGTTTTTCAGATAAGCAAAATATTTTGGGAATGGAGATTTCGGCATCAATTTAATGGATGACGATTTTGGGGTTGCACACTCGCCATTCTGATTTAAAGTGTAAATATAATTGAAATTTGCCTTAATTAAGCCTTTTGATTTCATAATATTTCATGGGGGCATGGCTTTAAACAGTTTACTTTTAGGGTAGGGAAAACTCCACTAACTATTTCCTTTGTGGGAAAAAGTACCTCAAAACATCAGTTCCTGCCTTAGATTGATATAATATTTCATCTAGTTTGTCATATCTCTATTATTTTATTGCTTCTAAATTCACAGTGAATTTACACTTTCAAATCTGAAATTCTGTTTGGTGTACCCAACGACAAATTCTAACATACTTTTTCTTTGTAGTCAATTTTATTATTTGCAGCTGCAAACTTAGAGCTTAGAGTCCTTTCTGCTTTTTTTGGTTTGAATCATTCTTAAAAACTCAAAAGATGTCTAATACACATGAAAGCAAAAGAATCTCCATGGCTAATCTTTGAATGCAAGGAAAAGAAAGCTTAGTTTTTAGCACACATTTACCCCTTGTAAAGCCCACCTTAAATTCCTGTTTCCCTGTCTCTTTTCTGTGAAGGCAGGTTCAATCTAGAGTGATTTCAACTCTTTGTCTACTATTGTCATTTCTAATTATATAATCATTCGCAATTCTTGCCTTTTGTTTTAAATGTCACTGGTTTGCCGAATAAATAAATTAAAAAAATTAAAAACAAAGTTCCCGACTGACCTCCGACGGATTCCATTAAGACATGAATCGTTGGAATACCATACTCAGAATGGCTAAAGACGAACAATTCAATCCAATCCAAATTAAGCATGTCACATTTTCGGGGAAGTTTATCAAAATTTGAAATCATCGGTTATTTTTAAATTCTTTGAAAGATTTGTGAAAATTTTATGTACGTTTTTTATGAATGTTTTACCCTTTATATAAAATTAATAAAAGTAGGCCTACATAATGATGAATGAAAACAGTTCCCCTTATTCACTTGGTCCCTGCTAACAACATCATCTTTCAGTTGATTCTATTCGATTCAATTTGATTTTTGCTTTCCAAAGTATAAAAATCTAGATACAAAGGTAAAACAGAGGCTTTTAGACTGAAAAAAACCAATACTCTCAAAGAAGAAGCCTCACCAGCGGAAAAGGGGATAACGCAAAATAGGTTTTAAAACTCGTATTTCCATTGCGGTCTTGACTGGATTCACATCGGTAAAGGAGTCAAGACTCAAACTTCAACTCTAATTACTTGAGTTTTACACTGTCCTTTACCTTTAGTTAATTAAACATTCTTAGGCCAGAATTCATTTGCAAAATCAATAGCGAGAGACAGATCTCGGTGTCCCGTCACCGAAGAGTGCTGCAATTAGATGAAAATGAAACAATCTTAGCTAGGAGGCTAAACATAGGTGTGGGCTTAGGCATTTCTTTTTCTCTGGAAGTCAGGGTTAAATGCTTGAACTCTAACCCTCCCATTCAATTCAAAGACAGAATTTTAACCCTCCCATGTTCAGACGCCCTCTTGTGACTTCTGTGGTTAGTGTCACATCTGGCAGTATGTGTAATTTACACTCATCAATTTCAATCGATGTACCGGCGCGAAGATATTCTTGATGCATCAGCTATTCGCCCTCAGGCTTTCAGTTTGTTAATGCATATTTGTCTTTTATATTACCCAAACTCATAATGATGATTACGTTTCAGTTATCCCACTAACGAGGAGTAAATATACTGGACATTGGTGTCTGAATTCGGCAACATCAAAATAAAACTAAAACAACGCAACGACTTTGCTGCAGAGCAAACTTTCAGTTCTTTCATAAATACACTAATTATGTTTAGCGAAGCTGATGATGAAACAATTAGACACGAGAAGGAATAAAGCATGTATTTTTATTTGTTGTCATACTGACAAAAATCCTATAAATGAGAGCAGTGACAAGCACCCAGCGTGTCCTGCATTATCATTCTGCCACGATGACTTATCTTACAACCTTCCTTCTACTGGCTGCGGTGCTCATGGGTAAGTTAAATTCTCTTCAGGTATTATCTAACTCGTGCTTTCATTTATCGCCGCACAGTGAATGATGCCCAATTACGTATGTATCTACCTTACAAATATTTCAATGACAAAAGTGTACCAGAGGCTGCGTTCGTAAGTTACTCTCGCTACTTCAGGGGCGGATCCAGTATTTGTTATGGGGGGGCTCAGGAATTTTGCTTCGTTCAAGGAGGCAGGGTACTACATGCAGTTTTCACCGTTGATGGAGACATTTGACTTTGTTTTGTCCTTAACTGTTAACGCAAAAAAAAGATCCCTACATGATTTATGGGTTTTACGCTGCCACGTTTGTCTTGTTCCCTTCCATTGGCAATAGTAATACAACTTCACATACTGATAAAAGGGAGCAGACTAATTTCCCTTCCAGCCTCAGTTTGGTTACACTGATTTGAGTGGTAGAAGCTATAGGTCTGCGCCTCGGTTTTTATCCCATTTGCGTCTAGGTGTGCTTTTGATGAGCTACACTCTAAAAACTTCCGGGTCAGTTTGACCCAGAATTAGGTCCCATTCGGAATGACCCTTTTCTTGGTCAAAATATGACACCCTTTCGGGTAATTTTTGACCCTTTTTGGGTCATAATTTACGTATTACGTAATTTACGAGTGTAGCAAGTATTGTCAACGTTGATCTTTCTGACTGGTGATAGGCTTTGAATATTTAAATCGAGGTAACCTAACAAAGGAACGTTGAGATTTCATATTTTAACTGTATTTTCCCGGTGTAGTTGTAATGCATTCCTGCCTTTATAATGGTTTTTTTTTAGTCCGTTCCACACCACCCAGCCTTTCATTCGAGTACAGCGATGATACCATGTTTGAATGCACCAACGACGCAATACATTGCGAAAACAAATATGGCGACTGCATTCCAAGCTACTGGAATTGTGATGATGTCGCTGACTGTAAATATGGCGAAGATGAACAGGACTGTCATTGTAAGAATCAAATGCCATTCATTGTCATGAAAGTAAAAACATGCAATTACACATCAATTTAGAAAACAAAAATAGTTTTCATCCTCACTTCCCAGAAATTAGTTCTGAATCGTGAGAATGATTGGGATTGTTCTTTTCAGCGTCTAGCAGTTCCCAATACCGTGATGATATGTTCGAATGCACCGACGACGCAATACACTGTGAGAACAAACACGGTGATTGCATTCCTGAATATTTTCGCTGTGATGACATCGTTGATTGCTATGACGGTCAAGACGAAGTTGGTTGTGATGGTACGATATGAAAAGGCATGCATATCTTCTTTATATCTCAGTAGAAACACTCGGATTATCACTGATTAATAAGAATTACGCATTTCCAAACCCGCACAGATTCGAAAATTTATAAGCAATGTAGGTTGTAAAGTTTTCGTAAATGAAATTCGGTACACAGATTTTTCGCTTTTCCTCTAAAAGCTGGATACCTGGTATCTGTGTGATTTTTTCCATTCTTTTCGACTGGCATTTCTGCACAGTGCTGAAAAGAAGAAAAGGCATTACTTCTGTTCTTCTTCTATACTTTCTAAAACTATATCTGGGCTTTCCAGCAACCCCTATTATTCAATTATACGGTTGACGATTGGGCCACTTTCTTTTATCTGTAAAATCTGCAGTTGGCTTTTCTTATTTGAAGGGATATCACGAGCAGCACATTAAAAAAACCTTTCAGCTCCCATTCAAGATGCACAAAAATGATAATTTTCAAGTTTCTGTACAATGGTTTCTTCAATCCACCTATCAAAAGACATGGGATAATATTACAAATATAAACAAGGAGAAGAAAGTTATAAAACTAATTCAACCTCTGACTCAGTTATTTCATTTTGACCTACGGGCTTCCTTACGTTTTCTCAGGAACCAGGATGCAAGAATTAATGCTATCTTTATTTGTACATTTCTATTTCTATCAGAGAACAAAAAGAAACGCGTTCGCATACACCAAGGTACGTACATGTAGGAGGCAACTTGCAGACGAAGTGGCCTAGACCACATGTCACGTAGCTCTACCCTTGAAGATTGTTTAGACGTGTACAAAGGTCTTTGGGCGTGTATCACCGTAAAGCCTAATGCTATTCTACACCTAATTATAAACATTCACGATTTGGCTATACGCAAACGATCCAACCTGCAAGCAGGTGCATGGCTGTAATGAGAACAAACTACTGACGTTGCTATATGATGCAAGATATGAGACAG